GCTCTTCCTTCGTGACTCAAGCAACCTCAAGGCTATGGGATGAACTCGTGAAATCTCGGCTGCTGTCATGCCCGCATTTGAACCAGCCTTTGTGTTCACCTTTCCCACAATGTTGTACAAGGATTGCTTGTAATCCTTGTTTAATCATCCGCATTACGCCCTGCAAATGGTCCTGCCATTAGCTGTGTTTTTTTTTTAAATATAGTTTTTATTAATTTTCATAGACATACAACATATTAAAAACAGGAAATGGAAACAATAGGATAAGTTACATACTGGGGGGGTGCGGAGGGGAAGGAAAAGTTGGGTAAGGGAAGGATCTGAGGGTAAAGGGGAGGGGCTAGTGAAGGAGGTGGGGGGGAGGTAACAAGGGAGGGGTATAGTACTTCCAGGTTTATCCGTCGTGGTATATACTTCTTTGGTTTTGTATAGTAGATTTGACTTTTACATTTATATACATATATATGTATTTTAATTATTGTTATTGTTATTGCATTCTTCATATTATATTCTAAACAAACTATTGAGTATTTTCCCATACCTAATGGTTAACTTTCTGAAAATATGAAAAATATCTTTATTATTAACTGCTCAAGGTATTTAGACCCTTGGGTTCTCCTTGACACTTAGTCACTTTCTTGGAGTATTATTAAATTTCTATTGTGTATAACCCATTGTTTTCCTCTTTTATAAATTTTAATACTGAGTTCCAATTGGTTTTCTGAGGTTTCCTATGACTTTGGGAAATTTTTTGTGTCAGAATGTCCATGTTTATTATGTCAAATATCTTATCCATCCAGAGTTCCAATGATGGAACTTCTTTGTTTTTCCAAAGCCTTGCTATGACCATTCTGGCTGCTGTTGTTACATAGAAAAATATTTTATCTTCGTTCTTGTCTAGTTTAAGATTATGAAGTCCTAGTACTAGGATTTCCGGTGTCGGATTAAATTTTACTTCTAGAATTTTTTCTATCGATCTGTGGACTTGTATCCAGAATTTTTTGATCCGTTTACAATTCCACCACATGTGTAGAAATGTGCCTTTTTCCTTCTCACATTTCCAGCATCGATCTTTTTTTTTATTCTTTTCTATTTTGGCCAAGATTTCCGGGGTTAGGTACCACCTATAGAAGATCTTGTACCAGCTCTCCTTGATGTCCGTGGCGTAGGTATATTTGATTTTATTTTTCCATATTTTTTCCCAATCAGCTAGAGGTATTGAATGGCCTATGTCTCTTGCCCAGGTTGTCATATTGGCCTTAACTTGCTCAGTCTCCGTGGCCCAAGTTAGTAGCTGGTTGTATATTTTTCTTATGAGTTTTGTGTCGGTTGTTAGAATGTTATCCCAAAAGGAAGTTTTCGTTTCAAAGCCTACTTTCTCATCTATTCTAAAGTTTTCTCTGATCTGGTGGTAATGGAACCAGGAGATGGAAACATCTATTTGATTTAATTCTTCATAAAACACTGCCATTAGCTGTGTTTTATGTGGCCCTTGCAGTGTATGTTTCTTTATTTGATGTCTCTCTCCCAACTGTGGAAACCAGGGACTTGGCTATTATTATTAACTTTATTTAGAGCTGCTAACAATCCCACACTTTAGTCATAGTTTTTGAAGCACAATACAAAAGTTAAAAAACAATTACATAGTACAGTAAATAGTCTAGGATGCGGAACAATGGCTTCAAACTACAAGAGAGGAGATTCCATCTGAACATGAGGAAGAACTTCCTGACTGTGAGAGCCGTTCAGCAGTGGAACTCTCTGCTCCGGAGTGTGGTGGAGGCTTCTTCTTGGGAAGCTTTTAAACAGAGGCTGGATGGCCATCTGCCAGGGGTGCTTTGAATGCAATATTCCTGCTTCTTGGTGGGGGGTTGGACTAGATGGCCCATGAGGTCTCTTCCAACTCTAGGATTCTATGATTCTATGAAAAACAGATTAAAATATAATAGATACACTTAAAATAGTCTTTCAAACTCAGAGTTCCCCATCCCAGAATGCCACCCACTTGGGTCCTTCAGATATTTGAGACTTCAGATCCAGAATTATTGGTGGTTGACCAAACTGATTGGGGTTTCTGGAAGCTGAAGTTGACCTGCCCGTGGAAGACCAGCAGAGATGGGGCCAAGCTGGTTTCTCTTGGAAGGGAGTTCCACAGTCTGGGAGCAGCCACCAAGAAGGACCTCTCCTCCTGTGTTCCCACCCAACATGCTTGAGCGGGTGGTGGGACAGAGAGAAGAACCTCCTCAGTAGATCATTGATGTCTACCAGGTCCTTCAGATAACCTGGGCCAGAGCCATATTGGGCTTCTGGAAGCTGAAGTTGACCTGCCTGTGGAAGGCCAGTAGAGATGGGACCAAGCTGGTCTCTCTTGGGAGGGAGTTCCACAGTTTGGGAGTAGCCACCAAAAAGGACCTCTCCTCCCGTGGTCCCACCCAACGTGCTTGAGCGGGTGGTGGGACAGAGAGAAGAACCTTCTCAGTAGATCATTGATGTCTACCAGGTCCTTCAGATACCCTGGCCAGAGCCATATTGGGCTTCTGGAAGCTGAAGTTGACCTGCCTGTGGAAGACCAGCAGAGATGGGGCCAAGTTGGTCTCTCTTGGGAGGGAGTTCCACAGTCTGGGAGTAGCCACCAAAAAGGACCTCTCCTCCCGTGTTCCCACCCAACGTGTTTGAGTGGGTGGTGGGACAGAGAGAAGAACCTTCTCAGTAGATCATTGATGTCTACCAGGTTCACAGAAAGAGATATGGTCCTTCAGATAACCTGGGCCAGAGCCATATAGGGCTTTGTAGGTCAATGCCTGCAGTTTGAATTGTGCCTGGAAACGTGTTGGCAGCCAGTCACGCTGTTGCAACAGAGGTGTTGTATGCTCCCTGTAGCCAGCCCCAGTTAGCAATTTGGGCCAACTGGAGTTGCTGAGCACTTTTCAAAGGCAACCCAATATTACACTTGGGTTCAAAGAGACAGGAATGCACCAGGATGAGGACAGTTTTTCAGCTCAGTTTCCTCCTCAGTAGGACATGTTAATGCATATAGGATATCCCAAAAGTAACAGGAATCCCCTCCAATGGGACAGTCCAAGGCAGTGGTTCTCAACCTGTGGCTCCCAGGTGTTTTGGTCTTGTTGTTGTTGTTGTTGTTGTTCATTCGTTCAGTCATTTTTTACTATTCATGACCTCATGGACCAGCCCACGCCAGAGCTCACTGTCGGCCGTCACCTCCCTCAGCTCCTTCAAGGCCAAGCCAGTCACTTCAAGGATACCATCCATCCATCTTGCCCTTGGTTGGCCCCTCTTCCCTTTTCCTTCCATTTCCCCCAGCATCATTGTCTTCTCTAAGCTTTCCTTTCTTCTCATAATGTGGCCAAAGTACTTCATCTTTGCCTCTACTACCTTTCCCTCCAATGACCAGTCAGGCTTTCTTTCCTGAAGAATGGACTGGTTGGATCTTCTGGCGGTCCAAGGCACTCTCAGAACTTTCCTCCAGCACCACAGTTCAAAAGCATCTCTCTTCCTTCTCTCAGCCTTCCCCATGGTCCAGCTCTCTCATCCGTAGGTGACTATGAGGAATACCATTGCTTTGACTATGTGGATCTTCATTGCCAGTGTGATGTCTCCACTCTTCACTATTTTATTGAGATTGGACATTGCTCTCCTCCCAAGAAGTAAGTGTCTCCTGATTTCCTGGCCTAGAACTCCCATAAATCCCAGCCAGTTTACCAGGCTGTTAGGATTTCAGTAAGTTGAAGGCCAAAACATCTGGGGGTCTCCACAGGTTGAGAACCACTGGTCGAAGGAGACTTAGAAATGTCTGAAAGTGTCCTTTCTGAAGCAGAGACATGTCAACATGCTCTTGAAAACCTCGGAGTCACTGAGGGACCAAATGGGACCTACCACCAACATGGAAGTGACTGGAAGTCATCCTCCCTGCAGTGGAAGTATTATGGAACTATACAGTTCTGGCCCAGCTTACTTGCCCGAACGTATCTCTCCCTATGTCCCACCTTGAAACTTACAATCTTCTGGGGAGGCCCTGCTCTCGATCCCACCTTTGTTGCAAATGTGCTTGGTTGGGATGAGCAACAAGGCCTTCTCGGCGGTGGACCCCCGCCTGTGGAACTCGCTCCCCAGCAAAATTAGGTCAACAGGGGACCAAATGGGACTTACCACCAACATGTTCCAAGTAACCTGGAAGTGACTGGAAGTCATTCTCCCTGTAGTGGAAGTATTATGAAACTATACGGTTCTAGCCCAGCTTACTTGCCCAAACGTATCTCCCCCTACATCCCACCTCGAAACTTACAATTATTTGAGGAGCCCCTGCTCTCAATCCCACCTTTGTCGCAAATGTGCTTGGTTGGGACGATGGACAGGGCCTTCTCAGCAGTGGTCCCCTGCCTGTGGAACTCGCTCCCCAGCAAAATTAAGTCAACGGCTTCCTTCCTTTCCTTCAGGACAAAGTTGAAGACATGGCTATGGGATCGGGCATTCGGATAGCAGGCTGACAATAAAAATGACGACAATACTATGGAAAATGGACTATGGACAGGCTTCAGATTAAGTTGTTGATCATGGAACTCGGACTTGACATGCCAACTAATTCAAATTGCACTATTTAAATTGTTTTAAATCTAATTTTAATGTTTTACTTATTATGTAACTGTTGTTTTATCTGTTGTATATGGGGGGCATCGAATTGTTGTCGGTTGAAAGCCACCCTGAATCCCCCTTTGGGGGGTAAAGAAGGGCGGGGCATAAGTATTTGAAATAAATAAATATATAGTCCCCTCCTTCCCAAGTAGGACATACAAGCATGATGGGGAAACCATGATGGAATTTTCCATGATCATTATCACATAAAAGAATGTAGCAACACGATTTTGGCAATCCGTAAGTGATTGGAAGTCACTTTTGGTTTGGTTTTAACTGTATTTAGTCCTATTCTTAAGGAAATGTGAGGATGGTGTATCTCAAAACCCAATGCAAGACAGAGGCAGTAATTGTGATGCAACATTAAGCTTTATTAAGAAAGATGGCAGGAGAGAAGAGCTGGAGAAAAACAAGGCCATGAATAGACAATGAATAACCTCCAGATGTGATGGTAACACCTAGATCCAGAAGAGTCGACGGTGGCTTTTTGACACTCAAGAACGTGTTCTTCAGTGGCCTTACAAATATGCAGAAGATGGTGGTGATGTCTTGACAACATTGAAAGAAAAAAGAGGAAATAGGAGGACACACAAGTGCAAAGATGACTAGCTAGCTGTGATGTGCAAGAAGTATCAAGTATCCAACGATTTTTGAGTAAGAGCTGGAAAATGTAGCCACTCTGAAAACCAGCAAAGTGTCACACTCTCCAAGTTCTAGAGCAGCATCTTCATATCCACGTTGTTCCTTCCAGGATGTCCAGTATCTAACAAGGCCCACAGCGTTTCTGGGAATATCTTCTCACACGACCATATCCTCCACAGTATCCGCTACCATATCCTCCATATCCGCTACCATATCCTCCGCCGTATACACCACCATATCTTCCACCATATCCTAACCGGCCATATCCTCCAGAGGAAGATCCACTAGAAAAACCACCACCGGAACCCAGGGCTGGATAGCCATATCCGGCACAGGGACTGTATGCTGAGACAAGAGCTGGCTCACCACTGGTGGCGAGAACTGGCCCTGGGATGGAGACCACGGATGCAGGGGGCTGGATCACAACTTCAGACCCTGCAAGTTGACTGGCGCAAGCCACGGGGCCGTAGCCGAGCCCACCTCCAACTCCAGAGAGGGCACCACCAACACCATATCCACCTCCAGAAAGGGCACCACCATATACTGGGACTAGTCCACAAGAGCCAACGCCACCATATCCATAGCTGACGCCACAGGGTACATCACACACAGATTGGCAGTAGCTCATCTTGATGTGACGGGGTGAGATCTGTGGAGAGGAGAAGACAAAATGGAGTCAAGCAAAAGCAGAGTTCCTGGAATTTCAACCAGAGGTTAAGTATTGGTTTTGGTAAGAGTTGGTTGCTCAGTGGTAGTGGAGGACACACTTTGGATAGCAGAAATGCTAGTCTTTGATATTATTTCCAACTAGTTGTACCTGTCAGAGTCAGACAATGCCCATTGGAAGGAATGCTAGATCAGCAAACACTGAGATGCAAAATAAGGACTCTGCAGGCTTTGAGTTACAAAAGAAACTAAGTTTACTAAGCACATTCAACAGACATGTCTTACTACAGCGAGCTACAATTCAGGAACTAGTCAAAATGAAAGCCTCTTCACATCTGCTTATCTTCTCTTGCTGTGGCCAACCTTCCTTCGCTCTTTCTCTCCTTCATTCTTTCTCTCCTTCCTTCCTACTCTTCTTCTTTCCTTCCTTCCCCCCATTTTTCTTTTCCTTCCTCTTTCTCCCTATTTTCTACCTATTCTTGGACTGCAACTCCCAGCAGTCCTCCTGATTGATCTATCTACCTATCTTTCTCTATCTAATCTATCTATCTGGAGGATTGCTGGAAGTTGCAGTCCAGAAATAGGAAATTGGAAATACGCAGGGATTGGGATGCTCTCAAAGAAATCCAAGGAGAAGAAAGCTTGTTTCTTGGAAGCAGTGCATTTGGATCATCCTCCTCTCCTAAAGGGCCTGGTCTAGGGGATGCTGGGAGCTGTAGTCCGGAAGAGAGTATGGATATGCTATTGAGTGTTTTGTTTGCCAAAGGAGTTGTTTTTGCATATGCGCTGTAGCATCTTTTTGCCTTTTTTTGGGATTTTAAGTCTCTTCTGCTGTGTTTTTCAGTGTTTCTATGAGTGGTGGTCACTCATTGGCCTGATCTTGTGTCTAAATTTGGTGTCAATTCGTCCAATGGTTTTTGAGTTCTGTTAATCCCACAAACGAACATTACATTTTTATTTATATAGACTAGCCATCCCCTGACATGCATTGCTGTGGCCCAGTCTGGTGATCTGGAAAATAAAGTAATGGTTTCTAATCTATGTAATTTCTTTCTGCTTGTGGGTAAACAGTATTTCTTGTTGTTTCTTTGTCAGTGTTGATGTGGAGAGTGTCTGGTTTGCCTACTCTGGAACATGCAACTTATCATTGTCCTTCTTTAGGGGTCCCTTTCAAATCTGTGATACTATATCTCTCTGTGTGAGAGAGAATCATATCTATCTATCTATCTATCTATCTATCTATCTATATCTATGGCTGGATGGCTCTTTGTCAGGAGGGCTTTGATTGTTTTCTTGCCCTGGTGAAGAGAGTTGGACTGGATGGCCTTAAGTATTTTCTGTTTGTCATGGGGGTTCCGTGTGGGAAATTTGCCCCAATTCTGTCATTCATTTGTGGGGTTCAGCATGACAAGACAAGAGTCCTTTGTCTCACCCTGGTCATTCCACAGATATATAAACCCTTTTCCCTAATTCCAACAGACCTCACTACCTCTGAGGATGCTTGCTATAGATGCCGGCGAAACGTCAGGAGAGAATGCCTCTAGACCATGGCCATACAGCCCGAAAAAACCTACAACGACCCAGTGATTCCGGCCATGAAAGCCTTTGACAATACATGCTCTTTGACTGTAGGTGAACTATAAATCCCAGTAACTACAACTCCCAAATGTCAAGGTCTATTTTCCCCAAACTCCATCTGTATTCATATTTGGGCATATGGAATATTTGTGCCAAATTTGATCCAGATCCATCATTGTTTAAGTCCACAGTGCTCTCTTGATGTAGGTGAACTGCAACTCCCAAACTCAAGGTCAATGCCCACCAAACCCTTCTAGTGTTTTCTGTTGGTCATGGGAGTCCTGAGTGTCAACTTTGGTTCAATTCCATCATTGGTGGAGTTGAGAATGTTCTTTGATTGTAGGTGAACTATAAATCCCAGCAACTACAACTCCCAAATGACAAAATCATTTTTTTTGAGTGAAGGACATACATTGGGTTGTTAGGTGTCTTGTGTCCAAATTTGGTGTCAATTCGTCCAGTGGTTTTTGAATTCTGTTAATCCCACAAACTAACATTACTTTACTATTTATATAAGACTATAGTGATCTCAATGAAATCAATGAAAAAGATGGCGTTCTACCAAAAATAGGGAGATATTCTACTCCTAAATAGTAGATAAAAATCTTAATCTGTATTAGGTTTTTCTCTCTCTCTAAGATACGTTTAGCCACAATGCCCACAAAGTATTATTGTCAAGGAAAGTCTTGCTAAACATAGGATTTTCATGCCATTCCCATTCATGCAAAACCACTAGATAACTGGGAAAACCACTGGTTCTTCCATACTTGAGGGAATGGCTCATTGCTAGAAAATCAGCAGGAATGTAGTTTTCCAAAGTTTTAACCTTCTCTTCCAAAGACTATACATTCTAGGATTCTATAGCAATCTAGGTCTAAGCCAGCCTGGGTTGGAGTGGGTTTCCAACCAATTGTGTGCAGCCTGTTGTCGACCTTTGCAACCCGAAAGACAGTTGCATCTGTCAAGTAGGAAAATTAGGTACCACCTTAAAAGTGTGGGGAGGCTAAATTAACTGATTTATGAGGCCATAAAGAAGACTCCGGCAAAGCATTCCAGTGGGGAAGCATGCGGGGAATGTGGGGAAGCATGCGGGGAATGCGGGGAAGCATGTGGGGAATGCGGGGAAGCATGTGTGGAATGTGGGGAAGCTTGCGGGGAATGTGGGGAAGCATGCGGGGAATGCGGGGAAGCATGTGGGGAATGCGGGGAAGCGTGCGGGGAAATGCGGGGAAGCGTGCGGGGAATGCGGGGAAGCGTGCGGGGAATGCGGGGAAGCGTGCGGGGAATGCGGGGAAGCGTGCGGGGAATGCGGGGAAGCGTGCGGGGAATGCGGGGAAGCGTGCGGGGAATGCGGGGAAGCGTGCGGGGAATGCGGGGAAGCGTGCGGGGAATGCGGGGAAGCGTGCGGGGAATGCGGGGAAGCGTGCGGGGAATGCGGGGAAGCTTGCGGGGAATGTGGGGAAGCATGCGGGGAATGCGGGGAAGCATGCGGGGAATGTGGAAGTGCTTCATCAGCGTCACAGATGGACGATGAAAGCGACAGCTCCCCTGGTGACCAGAAAAAGTTAAATAGCCTCTATGTATGTCTATATATGTTTGTATGTCAAAAATTGTCATTGAATGTTTGCCATATATGTGTACACTGTAATCCGCCCTGAGTCCCCTGCTGTAAATAAATAATAAATAATAAATATGTGTGCCAAACTGCATCCTTTCTACAGTGCGGATGCATCTCCACATCTCCATTGATGTATACAAAGAAGAGTTGTAAGGTGGATAGAACACATAGATGTCAATATTTCGATGGAAAAATAGGAAAAAAAAATCAAAGAGTAACATTTCAATTGATTCTAATTAAGTGGCGTCAAATGCAACTTACCCGGTTGGAGCTGAAGAAGCGATAGGAAGGAGAGATGAGCTGCCTTTGGAAGTCTCCCTCCTTGCGAGGCCTTTTATACCATCTCTGAGGGATGTGAACCACCCCTTCCTTTGCCGCGTGCCCTACTTAGCCCGAAAAAGGGGGTGTTACGGAATGTGCTGACGCTCCCGGTATCCAATTGCTCCCCCAATTTTGTTTACCTCTCTTTCATTTTTGCGCCCATGAGATTATCTCCTGCCCATTTCGTCAGCCCGGGAATGTGAACACCCTCTTGTTTGATGAAGGGTTGGTCTTGCATCAGCAGAAGAGGAAGAAACCACAAGAAACCACACCAAACCACAAGAAGAAGCCAAGGGCTGTGTCCAAACCTCCCTCGGTGGTGCAACAGCTCTAGAATGAGCCCGTGTGTCACAGAGCATGGTGCACAGATCGTTTCATAAAACCCTGAACATAGATTTCAAGTATTAATTGGCCTCATGTACAAATCTAAGGAAGGGATTAGGGATCACAATTACGAATTTTGTTTTGGCACATGGATAAGTTGAGGGCCATTCCATGGAGAAGGGAATACATCAATGTCAACTCAATGTCCTGCCATAAAAGGTACTGTAGTGGAGAGAATAGAGAGTATAGAGGGGGTTGGTGTTACTTTTAGGCTCTCCTGAGAGACTAAGCTCTCAACTTTTTCCACTCTACTTAGAGAAGCAGATGACTACCTTTTTATACTTGTATCAATCTAGGTATTAAAGTTGTGAGCAGAATTAATTTTTCTTGTTTCATCCGTTCTTTTGTTTATTTCGTTCCCTTCGGAAGCACATAACGGGAAGCCTCCTCCTGGTACGAAAATCAGCTCAACACAAAAGCAAGCAGGAGCTGATAACTCATGTGCCAACTGTGACCGTACTTTGTGAAGGCGGATCTGGCCAGGGTGGTCCATGCCTTAGTCACCTCCAGATAGGACTACTGTAATTCACTCTACGTGGGGCTGCCCTTGAAAATGGCCCGGAAATTTCAATTGGGTCAGCGGGTGGCGGCCTGTTTAAGGAGCTCCATTGGCTACCGTTCATTTTCCAGTCCCAATTCAAGGTACAGGTTCTTACCTACAAAGCCTTAAACGGTATGGGACCCGCCTACCTGTGTGACCGCATTTCTGTGTACGAACTCTCATGATCTCTTCGACCATCTGGAGAGGCCCTGCTCGCGCTCCCACTTCCATCGCAGGCGCGATTGGTGGGGACGAGGGAAAGGGCCTTCTCAGTGGTGGCCCCTCAACTCTGGAACTCACTCCCCAAGGACATCAGGCATGCCCCAACTCTGGCAGTCTTTAGGAGGAGCCTGAAAATGTGGTTGTTCCAGTGTGCCTTCCCAGAATAAGGAAACTCCAAGCAATATGTCCTTAATGCACTTTGTTAGTGATCTAGAAGTGTCTGTATGCCCTGTCCCTCTCTGAAAATTCTAGTTATACTTCACCTATCATGATCAGCATTATTTTTAATATTTTAATTATTACATTGGCCCAGCCATAGGTTTTAACGTTGCTGTGTTATTGCTAATGTTTATTGCTTATTTTTTGCTTATGAGTTTATTTATTGTTTTGTATTACTGTTGTTATTGTTTTTACTGTTGTATTGTGGGCTCGGCCTCATATAAGCCGCACCGAGTTCCTTGGGGAGATGGTAACGGGGTACAAATAAAGTATTATTATTATTATTATTATTATTATTATTATTGGCTCCCCCTCTGCTTTCCTGATCATGCGGAGCTCCTAGCTCGACTGAGCTCCAGGTCATCGGCTCTTCCTTCCCTGGGCCTCCTTGAAATATGCAACTAAGGACCTTGAGCTTGTTTGGAGGTTCTAGCAGGGGAGCGCAGCTATTGTATACCCAGGACCGAACACTGGAGACCTCAGTACACTCCTTTTATACCTGGGACGTTGTCCTCTTCCACCGAGCATGCAGCTTCAGGAGGGTCGCACATGGAGGGGTGAGGGAGGAAGAGAACACCCGCCTACCCGACCAGATCAGCCAAATCGACCCTAGCGATCAATGGGATGACAGATGGAGGTACCTCCTCCAGGTCCTCCAAAATGAATCTATGCTGGGAGAATACCATGGCTTCCACCAAAGATTACCCCAGAAGACCTAGAACCTTCTTAGAGAGAACATATTTCGTTGCATGTGGTTAGGTAAAACAGAAGTTCTGTCCTCCAGATGTGAGGTCTACAGTACATATTGTGTTTGTGTTAGCTTGTTATGGTTCCTACAAAATATTTCTTGGTTGGTCAACTGGCCACTGCTTCCAAAATCTCCAAGCCAGATCGCCCTCACATCCACTGGATTAGATGCAACCAAGGAGCTCCCCTCCCTCAGCTGCTCTCTCTGCACTGCAGGAGCACAGATAAGGGCAAACTATCCCAGAAATAGGGGTATCTTTAACCCTCCCAGGTTTGGCCTCCTACTCCATCACCACCAACATGGAAAACTTTAGCAGCAACATCAGCCAGGCTTCCAGCTCGCATCAGCGGAAGAAGGGGGGGACCAAGACTAAGCGCACAGAGCCAAGCGCCAAGCTGCTTCCCGCTCCCTCCCTCAACCTCTCTCTTGGCGACACAGGAACCTCAAATCCAAGTCACGTCCTGCCCCTCCTCTAGAGAACAGGTTTAAGAAGCATTACACCTAGTCTCCTCCTCTACAAAGGGAAAGGATCCTGAAAGAGTGGTAACTCTGATGCTTTTTAAAATCCATGTCTTAATGAATGACGAGCAAGAGCAAATGGAAGGATGGTATCCTTGAAGTGACTGGCTTGACCTTGAAGGAGTTGGGGGTGATGACGGCCGACAGGGAGCTCTGGCATGGGCTGGTCCATGAGGTCACGAAGAGTCAGAAGCGACGGAACGAATGAACTACAATGAATGATATGGAAAGGGAGCCTGTGGGAAGTCCCACCCATAATGGGTACTTTTTTAAGCACCCATTATGGTGCTTAAAATAATGGGTGCTTAATGGGGAGGAAGGACAATGGATGATGGGATTTGTAGTACTTTTAAACCCTTTTGTTCCCACAGAGCATTGCAGCCCCCAACAAAGACCGATAAAGACCAAACTTGGCACACAGAGCCCCCATGACCCCCTCTACAACCTACTGCAGTTTGGAGGAGGGCGAACCATAGATGATGGGAATTGAAGTACCTCGACTCACTTCCCAAGACTGCTGTGACCCTCATCCAATGACTGATCAAGACCAAACTTGGCACACAGAACCCCATGACCCACTCTACATCCTGGTGCAGTTCAGAGGAGGATGGACCACGGATGATGGAATTTGAAGTACCTTCATTCACTTCCTGAGACCAATGACTGACCAAGTCATCCAATGACTGACCAAGACCAAACTTGGCACACAGAGCCCCATGACCCACTCTACATCCTGGTGCAGTTCAGAGGAGGATGGACCACAGATGATGGGACTTGAAGTACCTTCACTCACTTCCTGAGACCACTGAGACCCTCACCCAATGACTGACCAAGACCACACTTGGCACACAGAGCCCCCATGACCCATTCTACATCCTGGTGCTGTTTGAAGGAGGATGGACAATGGACGATGAGACTCGCAGTACCTTCACTAACTTCCTGAGAGCACCATGAACCACATAAATAACTGATGAAGACCAAACTTGGCACACAATGCCTTTCTCAAATAACCCAGGCACCGCCGAGTCCCCAACCTAGTATACAATAAAGAAGGTTAACCCATTTTACCCCCATTAGAGGTCAGAAGCCCATGAACTTCATGTGAATGTGCAGGAATGGCTTCTACCCCAGTTGAGGGTTTGTTGTCCATGTAGACATGTCCTAGGACAGGTTGCAAAAAACCTCAGTACACTCGTATATCTGGGACGTCGTCCTCTTCCAAGTAAAAGAGATTCCACCTAATATGAGGCAGAACTTCATGAGATGTTCAACAGGGCAATAAGCTGCCCCAAATGGGTCTTCTTCTGAAGAAGTTGGATGACCAACTTTCAGGAGGACAGTAGGTGACAATTCCAAGGGGTGTACTAGATGGTCCTTGTAGATACTTCCACCTCTAAAATCCCCCCCCCCCAAAATGTAATGTCTGGGTAGGTTCCTTGCCTCAATCCACATTGCTGACATTGCATACCCTTATCCCGAATGTATCTCCATGTAACTGCTCATGAAAAGCAAAGCAACACCCAAAAAGTAGGTGTTGGGCACAACCCCGTGATAATGAGTCCTGTAAACATCTTTTATCCTTGTTGCTCATGGAAAATGAAAATAAAGATCTCATTAAGGCAAATCGTTTTCTTTTCCCTGGAGTTATACACCCTTGTATTGTCAGAAGGCTGCGCCCTTTCAATTATAGGTTTTTCTATCCCATCCTTTGATGACTCCGACATTAAAACCCCTTTTATGATTAACAACCTCAAAATCTGAAGCCTTCCGAAGCCATGTCATTGGGCAGGCATTATAATTTTAGATTTATCATCTTAAATCAATTTGCCTCAGTCCTATTGGTTAATCTCGAGTTGGCCCATGGACTCAGTCATTCCATAGTGAGTCAGGAAGGAGGTAGATCCCATTGATCTCAAGGGTCTTGCTCTAGTTAACACTAACAATAGGACTTAGGTCAGTATTTTGATTTTCTTTTGCTCTATCCCTCCGTGTAGTGATAAATTTCCAAATTCACTTGGTTTCCAACTCCCATCAGCCTCAACCAGCAGACTGATGGGAGTTGGAGTACCAAGCTCTAGAGGCTGCTCCTATTTTTTTTTATGAAAATGACAACCGTTTCAGTTGGATTGGGCTGACGTTGTTCCATCATTACTTGGTTGGAGATCAACATATTTTCTAAAGAACTTATATCTTCTTCAGGAAGGTCTGAGGAACATCAAGAGGGTTGATCTCTCGTAGTTTTTTTCCACCTGGATGCTCAAGGAAGCATCAACCTAGGTTGGATGGTTGGGGAGAAGGAGATGTCATTACCCATAAAAATTCTACCCTTTTTATGAGGATAACCACTCTCCAAAGTTGGTACCGCTCAACCATTGTTGGTACCACTCAACCACTATCAGCATTTTACTTGTCTGAGATGGAGGAGATGGTTTTCAACACAAGGAGATACATTAAAAACAAGTTGTTTCTTGTGCTATTTTTTGTTTTGATAATGGAATGGCATCAAAATCCACCTTCTTCTTGGAGGCAGTCTCAGTAGCGAATGTCCATCCTAGATGGACTCATCTCAACAGCATAACAAGTACAACAATAAAACTCATAAAGCAAAACAGTAAACATTAAAGCAATAACAATAAACATTAAAACAATAACACCATGACGCGTTTAAAACTAAAGGCCGGGCCAAATGTAATGAATAAAATTTAAAAGTGCTGGACATGACAGGTGAAATATATAGGTTTTTAGAGGTAGGTGCGATTTGCAGACAGTCTTAAATCTCTAATAAAGTGCATCTGGGACACGATGCTAGGAGTTTCCTAATCTGGAAAGGTACACTGGAACAACCAGGTCTTCAAGCTCTTCCTAAAGACTGCCAACGTTGGGGCTTGTCTGATGTCCTTGGGGAGAGAGTTCCAGAGCTGGGGGGGGGGCTACCACAGAGAAGGCTCTGTCCCTTGTCCCCACCAAATGCGCTTGTGACGCAGGTGGGATCGTGAGCAGGGCCTCTCCAGATGATCGGAGGGATCGTGTGGGTTCATATATGGAGATGCGGTCATGCAGGTAGATGGGTCCCAATCTGTTTAGGGCTTTGTAGGTAAGCACCTGCACCTTGAATTGGGACCGGAAAATGAATGGCAGCCAATGGAGCTCCTTAAACAGGAGGGTTGACCTCTCTCTGTAAGGAGCCCCAGTTAACATCCTGGCCGCCGCCCGTTGGAATTTCTGAGCCGTTTTCAAGGGCAGCCCCACGTAGACCGCATTACAGTAGTCCAATCTGGAGGTGACCAAGGCATGGACCACCCTGGCCAGATCAGCCTTCATGAGGTACGGTCGCAGTTGGCGCACAAGTTTCAATTGTGCAAAAGCCCTCCCGGTCACCACCGACGCCTGAGCCTCAAGCGTAAGTGATGAGTCCAAGAGGACACCCAAACTGCAGACCTGTGGCTTCAGGGGGAGTGCAATCCCGTCCAACACAGGTTGCCACCCTATACCCCGGTCCAGTTTATGATCGACCAGGAGGACCTCTGTCTTGTCAGGGTTAATCTTCAGCTTGTTCCTCCTCATCCAGATAGCCACAGCAGCCAGACCTCGTCCAGCACCTGAGAGGCCTCCTTGGAATTAGGTGGAAAAGAGTAGTAGAGTTGTGTGTCATCTGCGTAGAGATGGCACACAACTCCAAAACTCCGGATGACCTCTCCCAGCGGTTTCATGTAGATGTTAAAAAGCATGGGAGACAAAATGGAGCCTTGCGGGACCCCACAGGTCAAAGGCCAGGGGTCCGAGCAGGCGTCTCCCAGCTTCACCAACTGGGACCTACCCTCCAGGAAGGATCAGAGCCATGACAAAACCGTACCCCCGAGACCCATCCCAGAGAGTCGACCCAGAAGGATACCATGATCGATGGTATCGAAAGCCGCTGAGATGTCCAAGAGAACCAGCAGTCACACTCCCCCTGTCCAGCTCTCTGCGGAGGTCATCCACCAAGGCCATTCACCTAAGTATGACCTGGACTACACCATGCCACTGCTGCAGGATGGAGATGGCCAGGGATGTTTGTTGACATCCTTTTGCCCCCAGTGATACAAGGCTTTCCCAAGGCCTTTGGACTTGATTCTCCTGATACAAGAAGATTCATAGAGAGTTCCAACATTCTGCAAACTTTGACCAAACTATTGTTGTTCATGTGTGCTACCAAGACAGCTTCAGTGGATGAAAACTCCATGAATGGAAGCCTTCCAAGAAACACAGTTAACTTAAAGTCAATAATAATTCCAAATAAGAGCAGAATTGAAGGAATGTACAAGAGATGGAGGTATCAAGTTCCCATTGATCTAATGGCTCTACTTTCGATGCAGCGATAATTGAATGAAGACCTTCAGTTTCTCAACGGAAGTTATATATTTGAGCGGTGTCACTAAATATACTCCCGATTTCCTGAACCAAATACACGTCCTCTTTGTAGACATTCAATTTACACCAGATGTGGGCAAATGTGGAATGCTTAAGGTGATCTGAGAAACATTTTCTTTGGACCCCTCAATTGAAAATTACTCTAAAGTTGACATGGCGGATTTTGAAAATTCCTATGGAGGTACCTCCTCTAGGTCCTCCAACATGAATCTATGGTGGGAGAATACCATGACTTCCACCAAAGATTGCCCGGAAGACCTAAAACTTTCTTAGAGAGAACATATTTTATTGCATGTGGTTAGTAGGCATGGTTAGGTTTGGTCGGAATCTTCGTAATTCAGAATAAATTCGGAAAGATTTGCTTTTTGAAGTGATTTTGAAGTTTTTAAGGAAACCAGAAATCCCTTCACCCTCCTCCTCCTCCTCTTCCTCCTCCTCCTCCTCCTCCTCCTCCTCCACATTGACAGTGGAGGCAGACCTGGAGTGGAAGAGCCCCTGAAGTTTTCCCAGTGCCATAGCTGTTTTTTTTCCAACTGCACATGCGTGTCTGCCATTAACGAAGCTATTCCGAAGATTCCGAAGTTTTGGAAAGTTATGGTTTTGGGGGGGGGGAATGGAATTCAATTCCGAATCGAACCACCAGTGCCCCCTACATCTGAAATGAGTTTTGAACCATTTTTTTTGGATCTACCAAGCCTAGTGGTTAGGTCAATCAGAGGTTCTGTCCTGCAGATGTGAGGTCTGTATGTTAGCTTGTTATGGTTCCTACAAAATATTTCTTGGTTGGTCAACTGGGCACTGCTTCCAAAATCTCCAAGTCTGGATTTTTCGTATCTTCCTTGAATAAGCGTCAATGCCCCATTGGGAAAAAACAGACAAAGCTTGGAATTATGTATTAGTTCCTTTGTTAGGTAATGTCTCTTGGCCTGAGGGGAGAATCTTGATGGTCACCAGCCAAATGGATCTCCTTCTTCTTTTGCAGATGTTGCCCATCAAAGTAGGTTTTGATGGGCAAGAACATCAAAATCATGACTGAGGAGCACAAGACACACTCCTCCGATTTGGTCACCATATTTGACCTACCCATCAATGTGGTTGCTTACGCAAGACTAACTCATCTTCCAACTGATGGGTGTAACGTTCCTGAAGCTGATGCAAAAGGCTTGGAGATAATCTAATGGGCACAAAAATGCAAGTCAGGTAAACACATCCTGTGTCAATGGTACACTTGAGGCATGAGTGTACTTCAAGATCCCCTTGCAAGATCTAATTAGGACGCGACATGTGGGGTTCCCACCCCCTCAACAAAGCCAGGAGTATAGTATATAAGCCGTTGCAACTGGGGACACTTCCAAAGGCAGCTCTTCTCTCCTTCCTTCTGCTTCCTAAGGTCTTCTCCTTGACCAACCAGGTAAGCCATCTTTGACCTTGTATCTAATTGAAATGTTGATCAATGGACTTAGGGTTTGTGTTCTCCACATTGAAATGCCTGTTTTGTCCACCTTATGATTCCTTTCCATACAAAAGTAGATTTGCAGTGAATTAGGGATGCAGGTGGAGCTGGACGTGATTGGAGAAACCCATTAATGCAATTAAGAACTAATTTTTGTCTTGGATTTTTAGAGAATTGCTTCAAGGGCTCAAGATGATAGGGAAGGAAACTAAGTTCGAATATAGAAAATGAATACAGATAAATGGGTGAAAAATATGTCCCAGGGAACACTGATGGTGATATCCCAGTACTGACATGAATCTTTACAGTTTGGGATGCCCAAAAAGTGCATGTTTTCTATTGCAAAAAGAAGCATTTTCTGTTGCAGGTAATAGCATTGTTGGTATGAGAGTCTGGAGAGACTCCAGCACTATTTGGCAGAGAAGGCCAAAGACCTTCTGAGACTGCAACTTCCATGATTTCCATAACATTGGGCCTAGTGGTGAAAAGTGCATTAATTCTTGGATGCACCCTGAACCAAGTTCTTCCAACTTGGAGTCCTTGACTTTTTTGTGCTTGGAACTCAAAACACAACCTACCATTTTGGTATGAAAAGAGTGTCCTCCACCATTGAGCACCCAATCCCTTCCCAAGTTGATATGGGAGAACATCATCTTCTCAGTTGACCTCCCTGAGATGTCTAGAACTGGAAATAATATCAAAACTTACCCCTTTTGTGCTTGGAACTCAAAACACAACCTACCATTTTGGTATGAAAAGAGTGTCCTCCACCACTGAGCACCCAATCCCTTCCCAAGTTGATATGGGAGAACGTCGTCTTCTCAGTTGACCTCCCTGAGATCTCTAGAGCTGGAAATAATATCAAAACATACCCCTTTTGTGCTTGGAACTCAAAACACAACCTACCATTTTGGTATGAAAAGAGTGTCCTCCACCATTGAGCACCCAATCCCTTCCCAAGTTGATATGGGAGAACATCATCTTCTCAGTTGACCTCCCTGAGATGTCTAGAACTGGAAATAATATCAAAACTTACCCCTTTTGTGCTTGGAACTCAAGACACAACCTACCATTTTGGCATGAAAAGAGTGTTTTCCACCATTGAGCGCCCAATCCCTTCCCAAGTTGATATGGGAGAATGTCATCTTCTCAGTTGACCTCCCTGAGATCTCTAGAGCTGGAAATAATATCAAAACTTACCCCTTTTGTGCTTGGAACTCAAAACACAACCTACCATTTTGCTATGAAAAGAGTGTCCTCCACCATTGAGCGCCCAATCCCTTCCCAAGTTGATATGGGAGAACGCCATCTTCTCAGTTGACCTCCCTGAGATCTCTAGAACTGGAAATAATATCAAAACATACCCCTTTTGCTATCAAAAGTGGTTCCTCTAAACTGAGCAATCAACCCTTCCCCAAATTGATACTAAACTCTTGGATGAAATTCCAGGAACTCAACAATGACAAAAACAACTCTGCTTTTGCTTGACTCAGTTTCATCTTTTCTCCTCCTGTCCACAGATCTCACCCTATCACATCAAGATGAGCTACTGCCAATCTGTGTGTGATGTACCTTGTGGCGTCGGCTACGGCTATGGATACGGCGGCGTTGGCTCTTGTGGAGTATATGGTGGTGCCCTTTCTAGAGGTGGATTTGGTGCTAGTGGTGCCCTCTCTGGAGTTGGAGGTGGGCTCGGCTACGGCCCTGTGGCTTGCGCCAGTCAACTTGCAGGGTCTGAGGTTGTGATCCAGCCCCCTGCATCTGTGGTGTCCATCCCAGGGCCAATTCTGTCCACCGGTGAGCCAGCTGTTGTCTCAGCATACAGTCCCTGTGCCGGATATGGCTATCCAGCTCTGGGCTCTGGTGGTGGATTCTCTAGCGGATCTTCCTCTGGAGGATATGGCCGGTTAGGATACAGTGGAAGATATGGTGGTGGATATTGTGGAGGATATGGTAGTGGATATGGAGGATATGGTAGCGGATATGGAGGATATGGTAGCGGATATGGAGGATATGGTCGCTGGAGAAGATATTCCCAGAAATGCATCCCTTTCTACCGTTCTGGCAGCTGCGGACCTTGTTAGACACTGAAAACTCCCTGGAAGGAATGATATGGATATGAAGATACTGATCTTGGACTTGGAGGATGCCATATTTTGCTAGCTTTCAGAAATGCGGGACAGCCATGTTTTTTGCTCTAATTATGGAGATAAATATGGGTGCTACTTGCATATCATAACTGGTTACTTTCCCATTTTCCATCGTATATTCTCTTCTTTCAGTATTGATTATTATATGTCACCACTGTCTTTCCACACATCTTTTGAAGCCACTGTAGAATACTTTGAGTAGATTCGAAAAAGTCTCCAGCTGTTCTTTTGATGGATGTATTTCATTGTCACCTCTTGGTTTTGTTTGTTCTCCTGTTCCTCTCTCCTTCCTTCATTCTTAATAAAGCTCAATGTTGCATCAACACAGTTGCCTCCAAAGTTTTCTGTTGGGTTTTAACAACTTAGAGACATCACTTATGTTTTTTTTTTCAATATCCAAACCTCCTTATCTGAGCCTGGTTTTAAACCTCCAGACTTTTAGCACCAGAGAAGCTGTATTTTTGCTATGTGACCAACATGTTCTGGGCTCTTCCCAGAAATGCTTAATACTGGAGTTGAGCCCATTTCTACATATCCTTTCAACCCCAGGAGATACCCAGCGTAAATATAAAATCCAAAACTTTGAAAGGATTTCAAATTTTTGGAGTTTCGCACTCAGCAAAATAAAGAACAGAAAAACCCACATTAAAATGGAGACCAGAGCCAGGAATTTCTTTAAATCACAACAAATGGCATTCATAATCTATTTCCCTTCATTACATCCATTATGTCAGTACTTTCATTTAGGGCTGGGTAACCACGGAAAAATTTGTTTCTAAACTCAATTCGTTTCCAGGGAGCGCTAGCGTTTCCAAATTCTAAATACTTCCAAAATTTTGAGATTTCAAAGTTTCGTTATTTATGAAATTTCGTTAATTTCGAATCGATTCGTTAATGGCGGACGCGATTGCGCAATATGCTAAAAAAAACCCTCCGAATGGGACAGGGGGAACTTCTGAAGCTTCCCTCTCCCTCTGTTGTTGACTGTTGGTGTGATAAAACAAACAACAACTATAAAACTTGCACTAGACATGCGAAAATAATTACGAAATAATTACGAAAATATTACGAAATAATTTCGAAATAATAACAAAATAATTACGAAATAAATTGAAAAAATTGTTTCGAATCTAATTTACTCCTCACACTATTCCAAAATGGCTCAATATTGGATCGTAAGCTAATTTAAATACGAATTAATAACGAATTATGAAATTAACAAACGAAACCGCCCAGCCCTACTTTCATTATCTTCGGGAGCATATAATGGGAAGCCCCCTTCCGGTACGAAAATCAGTTCAACACGAAAGCAAGCAGGAGCTGATCATCGCCCTCCCTCTGCTTTCGTGAGCACATGGTACTCCATGCCTCCTTGCCTTGGAAATAGAGAGCATGTGTGTGGCATTCAGGCCCAGCGTGCACATCTGCCTGCAGTCAATGCCTCCTCTAGAGTAAGAAAGTCAGCACTTGCCTCCTTGCCTTGGAAAGAGAGAGTGCATATGTGGCGTGCTGTCCCAGAAAACGCACATGCCTGCCTGCAGCCAAGTGCCTATCCTCTTGAGTAGAAACAGGTAAGAAGCCTCCTTAAAACACGCACCTGCACTCAAGTGCCTCCTCTAGAGTAAGAAAGTCAGCACTTGCCTCCTTGTCTTGGAAAGAGAGAGTGTATATGTGGCATGCTGTCCCAGAAAACGCACACGCCTGCCTGTAGCCAAGTGCCTATCCTCTCGAGTAGAAACAGGTAAGAAGCCACCTTAAAATACACACCTGCAGCCAAGTGCCTCCTCTAAAGTAAGAAAGTCAGCACTTTCCTCCTTGCCTTGGAAAGAGAGTGCATATGTGGTATGCCGTCCCAGAAAGCGCACACACCGGCCTGCAGCCAAGTGCCTATTCTCTTGAGTAGAAACAGGTAAGAAGCCTCCTTAAAACATGCACCTGCAGCCAAGTGCCTCCTCTAGAGTACGAAAGTCATAACTTTCTTTGCCTTGGAAAGAGAGAATGTATGTGTGGCATGCAGCCCCAGAAAGCACACACGCCAGCCTGCAGCGGAGTGCGTATCCTCTAGAGTAGAAACACGTAAGAAGCCTCCTTAAAACATGCACCTACAGCCAAGTGCCTCCTCTGGAGTAAGAAAGTCAGCACTTGCCTCCTTGCCTTGGAAAGAGAGAGTGCATATGTGGCGTGCCATCCCAGAAAGCATACACACCTGCCTGCAGCCAAGTGCCTATCCTCTTGAGTAGAAACAGGTATGAAGCCTCCTTAAAACATGCACCTGCAGCCAAGAGTAAGAAAGTCAGGACTTGCCCCCTTGCCTTGGAAAGAGAGAGTGCATATGTGGCGTGCCATCCCAGAAAGCGCACACACCGGCCTGCAGCCAAGTGCCTATCCTCTTGAGTAGAAACAGGTAAGAAGCCTCCTTAAAACATGCACCTGCAGCCAAGTGCCTCCTCTAGAGTACGAAAGTCAGGACTTTCTTTGCCTTGGAAAGAGAGAATGTATGTGTGGCATGCAGCCCCAGAAAGCACACACGCCAGCCTGCAGCGGAGTGCGTATCCTCTAGAGTAGAAACACGTAAGAAGCCTCCTTAAAACATGCACCTACAGCCAAGTGCCTCCTCTGGAGTAAGAAAGTCAGCACTTGCCTCCTTGCCTTGGAAAGAGAGAGTGCATATGTGGCGTGCCATCCCAGAAAGCATACACACCTGCCTGCAGCCAAGTGCCTATCCTCTTGAGTAGAAACAGGTATGAAGCCTCCTTAAAACATGCACCTGCAGCCAAGTGCAGCCAAGAGTAAGAAAGTCAGCACTTGCCCCCTTGCCTTGGAAAGAGAGAGTGCATATGTGGCGTGCCATCCCAGAAAGCGCACACATCTGCCTGCAGCCAAGTGCCTATCCTCTTGAGTAGAAACAGGTATGAAGCCGCCTTAAAACATGCACCTGCAGCCAAGTGCCTCCTCTAGAGTAGGAAAGTCAGGACTTTCTTTGCCTTGGAAAGAGAGAGTGTATGTGTGGCGTACCGCCCCAGAAAGCACACAAGCCTGCTTGCAGAAGAGTGCCTATCCTCTAGAGTATAAACACGTAAGAAGCCTCCTTAAAGCATGCACCAGTCTGCAGCTGAGCACCTCTCTTGTCTCCTTTAGAATAAAACAGCTTAAATGCCTAAAATGGTCATTCCACAGATATATAAACCCATTTTTCCTAGTTTCAACAGACCTCACTACCTCTGAGGATGTTTGCCATAGATGCAGGCGAAACGTCAGGAGAGAATGCCTCTAGAACATGGCCATATAGCCCGAAAAGACCTACAACAACCCAGTGATTCCGGCCATGAAAGCCTTCGACAATGGCAATGCACAATGAGATCCCAGGCAAGGCAAGGCAAGAGTGAGAGTGGAATTGGAGCTAGTATAGATTCTTTAGTGGTTATTAGGCTTGGTTGATCAAGAAAAAATGGTTCTAAACTCGTTTTGTATATTGGGGGCGCTGGTGGTTCGCTTTTGAAATTATTTCCGAAATTTTCTTGAAAAAAAAGATTGGAAATACCAGGAAATGCGAATCACTTCCTTTGTTTCATTAATGGAAGGTGCCCCTCCCTCCCTCCAGAACCATTAAAATCTCGCAGTTTCCCTTCCTTCCCTTGCCACGAGCTTCCATGCAGAAGGGAGAGGTGGGCGTGGCCAAGCACAGCTCTCCTTGGAGGTCGCTGGGGGCATGGCCTTTGTGAGGTGGGCTTTGTGAGGTGGGCGTGACTACAGCCAGCTTTTCCGCATGACCGCTTGTCGCCAGGGAGGTAGCCACGCCCACCTCGCAAAGCCACCAATGCAAAGAGGAAGAAGGTGGACGTGGGTAAGAACAGCTGTTCCTGAAGGCCATGCCCCCAGCATTTACGATTCACTGGCGGAAGTCGTAAGGAAGATGGCGGACGCAGCTTTGATATGGCAAAAACACTTCCGGGTTGCCAAAACGTGTCGATATCGCTTCAAATGTTGCTGGAAGAAACATTAACAGCCTCAGATATGCAAATGACACCACTCTGATGGCCGAAAGCGAGGAGGAGCTGAGGAGCCTTCTAATCAAGGTGAAAGAAGAAAGCGCAAAAGCTGGGTTGCAGCTAAACATCAAGAAAACCAAGATTATGGCAACAAGAATGATTGACAACTGGGAAATAGAGGGAGAAAATGTGGAGGCCGTGACAGGGTTTGTATTTCTAGGCGCAAAGATGAGTGCAGATGCAGACTGTGGCCAGGAAATCAGGAGACACTTCCTTCTTGGGAGGAGAGCAAGGTCCAATCTCGATAAAATAGTAAAGAGTAGAGACATCAGACTGGCAACAAAGGTCCATTGCCTAGTCAAAGCCATGGTCTTCCCTGTAGTCACCTACGGATGTGAGAGCTGGACCTTAGGGAAGGCTGAGTGAAGGAAGAGAGATGCTTTTGAGCTGTGGTGTTGGAGGAAAGTGCTGAGAGTGCCTTGGACTGCGAGAAGATCCAACCAGTCCATCCTCCAGGAAATAAAGCCCGGCTGCTCATTGGAGGGAAGGAGACGAGAGACCAAGTTGAAGTCCTTTGGCCACATCATGAGGAGACAGCAAAGCCTGGAGAAGACAATGATGCTGGGGAAAGTGGAAGGCAAAAAGAAGAGGGGCCGACCAAGGGCAAGATGGATGGATGGCATCCTTGAAGTGACTGGACTGACCTTGATGGAGCTGGGGGTGGTGACGCCCGACAGGGAGCTCTGGCGTGGGCTGGTCCATGAGTTCACGAAGAGTCGGAGACGACTGAACGAATGAGCAACAACAATAGCTTCAAAAGGTAATTTATTTACAATTTCATTACGAGTTAAGAAACTTACGACTTGGATCAACCAACCCTCGGGGTTATCCATGCCTTTGGGAGGAAAACACATCTCAATGTTTAACATGACACCGTTGGACAGCTCATTGATAGTTGAGCTACACCCATTGAGCGTAGGAAGTCTTGTAAACACACTTATCGTGGTTGTATATGCAAAAGAGAATGTCATCAAGACAGATTGTTTTTTCCCCTGGAGGCATACACCCTCATATTGGCAAACGGCAACACCCTTCTTGTAAAGGGCTGTTATATTCTGCACTTGGAGAGCTTTTAATTTCCTCAGTCGCCCTTAGACTTTCATGACCATTTTATTACCCATAATAAGCTTGTATACTTCTTGCGCTGCCCGGTATGATGTCGGTTTCTGTTTTATTAATGGAAACAAAATTGGTTCTCTGAAGTCATGCAGGTCTAGGCTGAGTCAACATCAAAGAGCAATTTCAATGGGTTTACTCAAATTGCAACATATAAATCCAG